TTTTTTTTTTTTTTTTTTTTTTTTTTTGCAGATGAACTCCCCACGACACCCGACACCCACCCACCTGAAAACCGCGGTCGACCGCCCCCGAAAAGACCGCGAAAGGACGTACGGAAGTCCGTACGTACGGGCGTACATACAGATCGTCTTCGGCCAAGTTGTAAGAGATCGCGGCTTACCTCAGAGCATCATCTCGGACCGTGACCCATGCTTTACCAGCACATTTTGGCGACGCCTACACGAGGTGTACGGATCCCAGCTCCGCTTCTCATCGTCTTACCACCCTCAGACGGATGGTCAGACTGAGGTTACCAATAAAACTCTTGGTAATATCCTCCGAAAGTTTATTAGGGGTGACCAGTAGTTGGACTTACACTTAGCCCACGCAGAGATTACGTACAACCACACTGTTTCGCCAGCCGCAGGGATGTTGCCATTCTATTGTGACTTTGATTACCACCCTCGCGTACCCGCGAACTTCCTACAACCGTCGCAGTTGCGTCCAGACATTCGTTGTCTTGCGTTTGACGACTAGATCGCCCATATGGCGATGATTATGAAGCACACACACGAGAGTCTAGTCAACTCTCAGACTCGCATGGCCGCACGAGCGAACCGATCACGAATGGATCATCCATTCAAGGTCAGTGACGATGTACTCGTCGACGCACGCCACTTGCAGCTTGAAGCGGATATGCTTCGCAAGTTCCGACGTCGCCTTTTCGGTTCATGCCACATCCTTCAGCCCATCGGTTCTCGCTAATCCGACGAACTTCCGTGTGAAGCTACCTGATTACCTTCGACATACTCGCAGACACGATGTTTACCACGTCTCCTTGTTGCATCCTCATCGCAAACCGTCCGAGCGCTTTGCCAGACGTCCTTATGAGCGTCCTCCACCTATCATGGTGGACGATTACGAGGAGTTCATCGTTTTCGACATCGTATCTCACAAAGTTACCAACGATACCCCTCCACGCATCGAGTACCTTGTGCGCTGGAAGGGCTATCCTAATGAGGAGGCTACTTGGAGACCCTCGAGCACCAAGAGCACGCCCGAATGTTGGTGTGTGCATATGATCATGCTCGTCGTGCTGAAACATTTGCTCCTCCTCGACCGATTGACCTTCTTCCTCCTTCTCCGACTAAGGAGATTGCTGAGGACGAGCCCGCTCCCTCTGAGGCCGTTCTTCAACAGCAGCAGGCCGATGCCTCCGCGCGTCCACAATGCACCCGTCGTCGCCCTGGGCGTCTTGACGACTAACACTCTGATCACCTACTATCTCCTTACTAACTCACACCTTCAGGTACTCCATCATTAGTTTTTTCAGGATGTCAATGTTTTGCGACTCTACCTCGACATCGACTTGACTCCTAGTTCATCGACGCCATCGACCACTTCGACGACTTCCGCTACCTTATCGACTCCAGCTACTTTGGACGTGCCTACTTCACGCCATCACCCTACCCTGTACATTCCTTTGCGTATGTTGCATGATGGTTCTCACTTAGCTGGGTCTCTCTGAGTTGGACTCTCCCTTGGTATCGCATAGGCATTGGGACCGTAACGTTATCTTGACTTCCCTAGTCCAGATCTAGCTCCCTCCCCCAGTCGGTGAGTTGTGTGCATGTTTCCCTCACCCATTGCATCCCTCATCACCCTAGTGCCGACCATTTCATGCCTTTAGTTAGGCATATATCCTCCCTATTCCAGACTCCCCTTTCATGGTCGACCCTGCATGGTGTCACCCATTCGTCGAGCATTACCCGCCTTGATGGTCTATCTGTTAGGGTCATTCATTTTGCATCGCTACCACTCCCTCACCCTGAGCCTGATGACCTACCCCACCTTGTGTGCGACTGACCTAAGGCTTAGGACTTTCGATTATTAGGCTGCATTTACCCCCTCTGAGACCATCCCACTCTTAGTGGTTCAGTGACATGACATTACTTGTGACATACTGCTCTCTTCCCCTTTGAGCACCGAGGCAATTGCCTCCAGGACTTTAGGATTGTATGTTGCTACATTTCATTTTCTGCTGTTGGATAGGATGCGTATACCAGACATTTGCTTTTCATTTGACATTATGTAGCTTACTAGGCTGCATCGCATGGACTCCGCACGGAGCTTGTTCCACATCCTAGATTTCTCAGCTTTCTTTATTACAGAGTTTCACTGCTTTTGTGGATAGCGTGTTTATGGCTCTTGCGATCCACTATAGGTATGAGGATCGTGCAACGAGCCTCTATCTACCCTGGCCTACAACCAGGGCCCACCAAGCTATTTGCCTGTTTGGCCTGTGGGACCAGCCCGAGGCCTGATCCCACAGGTTGTGTGCTGTTCCAGTCCAGTCCAGTCCTGCCCGGTACCACTGTCGGTACCAGTCCAGTCCAGTCAGTCTGCTGGGGGTATACCCCAGCTGTTGTCTGATTTCCAGGCATTCTTCATTCTGCACATTTGGAGTACGTACGTGTTGAGTCCGCGTCGGAGCTGCACTGTCCCTTCCAGCTCCATCTCCATCTCCTCCCCCTTCAACCCTTCGTCTTGATCCTGACGGACCGCCATCCCGGCGGGTCCGTCACACACACAGACCAGGGGGCCTTCGCCCAAGGGAGATCCATTGTGGAGAAAGGTGACCATGGGCGTGCCGGAGGTCGTACAGGCAGAAAACAGGCAGGTCATGGTGGCAATGCTGGACTTGGAGAAAGCCTATGACAGTGCTGGCCAATCTCGAACAAGGTCATATGAACTTCAGGCAGAATTATTGCAAATGGGTGAAGGAGCTCTACTGTGACTCGGCAGTCATGGTCAATGGCTTTCTTTTTTTTCCCTTTTTTTTCGTTTTTTTTTTGTCAATGGCTTTCTCTCCCCCACAAAGCATCTGATTTCCTGGCCATAGATCTCCGCGAAGCAAGGGTTTGAAGAATTCCCTCAGGAAGGAGTAAGCGCTATCGGGTAAGGGCCTAGCTGCACTTCTCGCCATCCTCCAACATTGTGAATTTGTGAATGCATCAGGGTGTATTGCTGGTTAAGATTGTGAATTTGTGAATGCATGAGGGCCGATTCCTGGTTCGAATACATTCAAAATTTTGGCGGCTGGCGTGGTAGGCCCTCCGTAAATCGACAAATGGTTCAAATATCGAAGCGATCGTGAGCTTTGTTGTTTGCTGTTTTGCTTACGTGGCATGATCAGATGCATGTGGCCTCGCTCCAGCACTCTCCAGATGCCCAAAAGACAAAAACTATGGCGACGTATCTTTCCATGTTCTTGGAGACCATTCGTTCTCATTTTGCACATTTTTTGTGAGTAGTGGAGCCACGCTCAGACAATCAAATCAGAATCATTCTTTCGTAATTCTGTACTGTCTCGTTTCTTTTTTTTGTTTGTTTTTTTTTTGTTTTTTTTTGTTTTTCTAGTTTACTGTCACGTTTCCGACAACGCTCGTTCCACTACAGTACTACTGCTCGTTGAAGTCGTTCGATGTTTGTTTGTTTTGATGTTTTGATCTTTTTTGGGTTTTTTGCTTTCTTTTTATACCTTCTTCTTTTTTTTTTTTTTTTTTTTTTCGGGAGTATACCCTCTTCTTTGATTYTTCGATGGGCGTTTGGAAAAGACACTTCGAAGAAAAGACACTCTTGTTTTCTTGACATGAATGCCCCCCTTTTTGGGGGGCTGTGTTTGTTTGTTGCTGTTACAAGGAAAAAAAAAAGGTGGCGCCGTTTGTTGTTGGGAGTTGTCCCTCTTTTTTCTGGGGGGCAAACTCAGGACCTGGCTCCACTACTCTCCAAATGTGCAAAATGAGACTGAATCTTCCTCTAGAAAATGGA